CACCTCCTGGGCTGTGACTTCTCATGAGGTAAAAATTACTGCACCAAGAGAGAAATGAGCAAAATTGGTTAAAAAGCACAATTATCATGGCACTACCAGAGAGAAGCTTCCACTTAGATAATAGTTTGCAAGACTCATGACAGAAAAGAAATAGCCTCAAGACTCAGTCTTCAGGTATTTCTGTGAGATTATAAAGGATCTGAGGCAAGGGGACCACTTGATAAGTATTTCTTGATTTCAACCTCAGTTTTCAAAAGTGGGCAGGTAAAGGAGGAATAGAAGTAGGTCCCTGCCCTGAGACGGGCCTTCTGAAACTGCTGGAACAGAAACATGCCCCACGTTTTGTGCTCACGGCTTGATACGTCAGCCATGTCAAAACAGCACTGGGAAGTAATCAGAGGAAACACTTCTCAGAAAAAAAGAATTCTGTAATGATTTTTTAAACGTGGTTTGGCATCCCTTAAGCTGGAGTGAAAATCTGCCCTCATTAAAAAGAGGAAAAACCTGAGTTTCAAAAATACTCTAACGGCTCACTGATCCTGATTGGATCCATTGAAATTCCTGCTTAAGGAAATTAAGGTCATTTCTGATTATCTTTTATCTTCTAGCAATCAGAAAAGTGCCATCTAGATCATCTAGCAGAAAACAAGATTCTTGAAAGACAGGGAGGTTTTTAGAACAAGTCACAGCTCCTATTGGACATCAGTGACCGGGTGGGCACGTGGATGCTGCACACACACTGTCTATGGAAATCATGTGGTTCTGTCCTCTCATTATGATCATGCCACTTCCAGAGCCACATCTTCTCATTCTTTAAAACAATTTCATGACACGGTGACCCCTTCTTCCCACCAAAGTCACACCAAAAGCTCTGGGTTATTGCTTGTTTGTTTTTTTTTAAGCATTCTGCCATGCCACAATTAATGTGTGGTCCAGGATAAACTAAGTGGAAATGAAATCAGACAATGCCAAAAATGTATCTAAAGACAAAAAAAAAACAGTGGAAACAAAAACAGAACACCCTTTAAAACATCAGCTTCAGAAATGGCTTTCAGGTTTCTCCATTAAACCAATACCAGAGAGCACTACAACTGTATGAAATTTCCAGAGGTTTCAGAGCAAATAACAGTGTAATTCATCATTCAGTCTACTGCTCTAATCTTATCCCTGTACTCTCAGTCAAATTCTAGATATACAAGAATGGAACGGAACGGAACGGAACGGAACGGAACAGAACAGAACAGAACAGAACAGAACAGAATAGAATAGAATAGAATAGAATAGAATAGAATAGAATAGAATAGAATAGAATAGAATAGAATAGAATAGAATAGAAT